ATTACAAGGTAACCTCAAAGTAAAACAATACACCTACACACCAAAGTAAAAAAAAACAAAGAGAGAAAAATCAGAAAGATTTAGCAAACACTAATATGACAGAAATGAAAATGAAAACAAGACCCATGACAAAATGATTTACTCAACACAGAAAATTATGTGGAACAAAGAATCCAGCAGCACCACAAAAGCACACACAGAAAACTGACAACAATCAATTCATACCTATTGATAATTACACGGAATATAAATGGAGTAAATGTACCAGACAAGAGACATAAGAGTGCAGAATGGATAAGAAAACAGTATTCATCAATAAAATGTCTGTAAAGAGACACATTAAAAAAGATGGAGACAGCCTAAAAGTACATCAACAGAAAAATAGTTAGACAAACTTGGGTACATACAATGGAATACTACAAAATGTTGAAGAATAATGATGAATCTGTGAAACACTTCACAACATGGTTGAATCTGGAGGATATTATGCTGAGTGAAATTAGACAATCACAGAAAGACAAATATTGTATGAGACCAAACATGTAAAAGTTACAAAAAGGTTTTCTTGTTAAAAGAAACAAATCTAGGGTGGGGATTGAGGGGTTGGTAGGGAAAATTATTTCAGGGCTAGAGGGTTGTTGTTGTTAAGTGCCGTCGAGTCGATTCTAACCCATAGCAACCCTGTATAGGGTTTCTGAGGAGCAACTGGTGAGCTTAAACCACCGACCTTGCAGTTCAAATGGCTTTGCTGTCTGGCACATTAATGGCTAGAGAGGGGTTGTTGTTAAGTGCCGTGGAGTCGGTTCTTAGACCCATGTTAATATGGGTGACAGGGTATGCAACATGCAAGAGGGAGGTTAGCAGAGGAAAGATGACGGTAGTGGGACACAGGGAGGAACGCAGTGTGAAAGAGAACACAGATGAATTCTGGTAATTGTTGGTACAGTTAATAGGGAACTGAGGGGATTGCAATCATGTAATGAAGCAAATTTAGAAGTGATGATCTACTCTGAAAATCTTTACTCAATTCACAATAATAAGCTTAAAAGGAAAAAAATAGACTAGGCCTCAAATAGGTGGAAATCCAACCTTAATCAGCAACCCCCCCCTTGACTTAATTAAAGTGTTCTTCTGTGTATTAAGATCTCCGGGGGCTGAAGTAAATACCCTCTGTTGTTGTTGTTGTATTGGGTTTCTGAGGAGCGACTGGTGAGCTTGAACTCCCAACCTTGCAGTTCAAACCAACTTTGCAGTCCATCACATTAACCCACAGCATCACACCAGGACTCTAAATCCCCTCTAGAGAAAGATTATATCATCCTGTGCCTTTATAATTCTGTCTGTACACACAATATCAAAAACAACGAGGTATAACCAGGGGAGCAGATCAAGGGAAAGAAACAGACTCACAGGAGCCCAAGAAACTGGAGTTAACGTAAACTTTAAAGTACTGCAATTAATGCTGTTGTTGTTCCGTGCCGCTGAGTCAGTTCTGATTCATAACGATCCTGTATAGGGTTTCCAAGAAGCATCTGGTGAGTTTGAACCGCCAACCTTGCAATTAAAATTAACTTTTCAGTCAAGTGTTCATCCTACAGCCCCACACCAGGACTAAATTAATAGATATAAGAAAAATAGATGATAAAATGGAGACTTTCTTTCATCAGAAGCTATAAAAAAAATGAAATTGAAATTCCAGCTAGTCAATATATAAAATTAATTCAATTAGACACAGCCAGTGAAAGAACTGCTAGAAGAATGGAAAGAAAAAAAGGACAGAAAAAACATAAAGGAGTGTACGACATATGGGATCTTATGACAGAATCTCCACCACTCATCTGTCAGTTTGTCGTACTGTGGAGGCTTGTGTGTGGCTGTGATTCTGGAAGCTAGACCACCGGTATTTTAAAGACCAGCAGGGTCACCCAGGGTGGACAGGTTTCAATGGAGCTTCCAGACTAACAGAGACTAGGAGAAACAGACCACTTCTGAACAGATAAGCAATGAAAACCATATGAATAGCAGTGAAACATTGTCCGATACAGTGCTGGAAGATGAGAAGGAACTCAAAATACGACTGGGAAAGAGCTGCCTCCTCACACTATTTTGTTTGTTGTTAAGTGCCGTAGAGTCTGTTCTGACCCATAGCGACTCTGTATAGGGTTTCCGAGGAGCAGCTGCTGGTGTTGACCATAATTATGTGGTTGGAACTAAGCTTTTGGGACCTTCAGCTGTTGATGGGCCACAACTCAAAGTGAAATAAACAGCTACAAGCATCCATTTACAATCAGAACATGGAATATATGAATTATGAAACTAAGAAAATCGAAGCCCTCAAAAATGAAATGGAACACATAAAGATCGATGTCCTAGGCATTGGAGAGATGAAATGGATAGGCATTGGCCATTTTAAACCTGATCATATGCTTTACTGTCACAGGAACAACAAATTGCATTCATCATCAAAAAGAACATTTTAAAATCTATCTTAAAGGGCAATGCTGTCTGTGGTAGGACAATATCCATATGCTATGAGTCGGAAGCGACTTGACGGTATCTAACAGAAACAAAGATGACCAGTTAATACTACTATTATTCAAATGTACACACCAACCACTAAATGATGAAACTGAAGAATTCTGCTAATTTCTTCAGGCTGAAATTGATGAAACATGCAATCAGGATGCACTGATAATTACAGGGGATTGGAATGTAAAAGTTGAAAAGAAAGAGGAAGGATTGGTAGTTGGAAAATATGGCCTTGGTGACAGAAACTAAACTGGAGATCGCAGGACAGAGTTTTACAAGACCAATAACTTATACATTGCAAATAACTATTTAAAACAGTATGCAAGGTGACTATACACAGGAACTTTACCAGATGAAATACATAAGACTCAAGTTGACTACATCTGTGGGAAGAGACGATGGAGAAGTTCAACAGCATCAGCTAAAATCAGGCCAGAGGCTGACTGTGGAAAAGACCACCAACTGCTCATGGCCAAGCTCAGGCTGAAGCTAAAGAAAATTAACACAAGTTCACAAGAACCGAAAGACCTTCGAGTATGTTCTTGTTGATCAAGTGCCATCAAGTCGATTCTGACTCATAGCGACCATGGACTACTATTAGAACAAATCTGTCTTGGAAGAAGTACAGCCAGAATGCTCCTTAGAAGTCAGGATGGTGAGACTCTGTCTCTTGTACTTTGGACATGTTTTCAGGAGGGACCAGTCCCCTGGAGAAGAACACTGTATCTGGTAAAGTGGAGAGTCAGCAAAAAAGAGGAAGCGCCCCCAATGAGAAGGACTGACAGAGGTATCAATAATGAACTCAATGATAACAACACGTGCCAGGGTGACACACACTCAGCGATGTTCTATTGTGTTGTGCAGACCACACTGTAGATTAGAGCCGACTGGATGGCACCTGACAACAATAACAAGTTGAAAGGATCCAATGTGTACAAATGAAAAGCAAGAAGGAAAGAAGAGATAGGATGAAGGAGTAATGCTAGCTGAAAAGATAATTATCAATTTTTTTCTAATAAAAAATGGACAAAAAGAAACCAAGTCACAGATTTAAAAAATTCGAACTTAGGATAAATACAAAAATCATTCTAACACTATTAAAAACCAAAGACAAACAAATCTTAAAAAACAGCAAGCGGGAAAAAAAATAATAAAGGCATTCTTAAAAGAACAGCAATAACACTTAATATGCAACAGAAACTACAGAAGCAAGAGGCCAATGGAAATTTGTAAGTGCTAGAACAAAAATACTAACCAATGCTGCTATATCCAGCAAAAGTGTCCTAAAATGAAGGCAAAATTAAACTTTCACTGAGAACGCAATAAAACATTATTTAAAAAATAAAATAAGGTGTTTTCTGACAATTAATTGCTAATATACTTGTACTAAAACATAAAGAGGAAGTCTTTCAGCAGAACAGAAATTACCCCAGCGAGAATTACAGATATATAGAAAGAAATTCAGATCAATGGAAAGGGAAACCAAAAGAATTAAATTTAAATGAATACTAGACCAATCCATCTC